CGAATTTATTTAAATAAGTAATACAGACATTAAAATTTATGTCTGCCAAAATTATTTACTGTTGTAAACAAAATGGTTGCTTTCTAAAAATATAGTATCTCGTGACTAAACCAACATATTAATACACAAAATATGTACTACATCTATTTATAAATATATATATTGTAGACTAAGTAGACTGCCCGGTTGGCGTAGTAAATGCAAGAGTGACTATGGAACACATCATACGAGATTCATAAGAACAAACTAAGTATTAATTAAGTTTTTAGATCAAGAAATTAGTTACTTTAACATGTAATACATAATAATCATTTACAGTTTCCTACACTATCCAATAACTTGTTAGAAGAAATGGCAAATAAATTATTTAACGGATGCTGACGCTAAGTCTGCCATAGTCCATTGCAAACCAATACAAAAAGCCAAACACCATAAAAAAACGAAGGCAGGTACGTAACTAAACAAAAAGACATGGAGTCATTACATTTAAAAAAACAGTGAAAGTTACTTATAGAAATCTTTACAATAACCTCCATAGCTTTTGTGTTATTATGGTGAGAAACACTTGAATGGGTATACCGAATACCCATTGAAGTTTTGCAATAGAAAGGTTAAGGAGGAAAATTTCGAAGGTGGCTTTCCGGTTTGAAGACTTAACTTGGATTCGTAATACATATTAGTATAAATATTGCAAGTATTATTTTACTAAAAACCACTTAAACCAAATTCAAAAATGATTCTGTCAAACAGTTACTTATTTTTTTTTTATTTATTAAATTGTAACTTTTAATTGAATATTTATACTTTCCTACAGTATCTTCTTTCTCTAGTGTAGAACTCTATTTAACCGTGTTATGGAATGGAGAATCAACAAGCAGATGGATCGCCTGATGTTACCAATTAACGAGCCGTCCATGGACACTCATAACACCAGAGGACTTTTTTTTTAAGGGGAGAAAATCATCGAATGACTACTCCCGCCTGGGGAAGCGGGGTGTCAGACTCTTACTGACTAAAAACCACCCCGTTCCTTCTCCTCTGCACGTCGAGCCGGAGCCCCGGTTACCCGTTAGGTTCTCCGCGACATCACCAGAGGACTTACAGATGCGTTACTGTCCTTTTAAAAGGGAGCATGTTATGTTACGTTAGGTACATTAATGTTAGGTACATTAGCACTATGTTCTTAGACACAGTACCCGAATTAGCACAACATCGCAATCACCATGTAGGTCACGGTCTTAGGAAAGAGATAGACATAGCGAATTTGTATCAAATAAAACAAAGACAGGTATAGTCTTGTTTTGTTTGTGACAATGTAATCGTAGTTGTTATTTAAATTAATTAATACTAATTGTTTTTATAGACGTCATATTATGAGAACTGTCTTTTTGTGTAGTCAGTTGAAAACGGAAGAGCATTTTGTTGAAATATTTAATTACTTAAAGTTGTTTAGCGTTGACTGCCTCGTTGGCCGAGTGGTCGCAAGTGCGACTGCCGGGCAAGGGGTCTCGGGTTCGATTCCCGGGTCGGGCAAAGTATTACTGGGTAGCACGGAGTCTGGAATTGTGCCCGGTATATGGCAATAGGCTCACCCCCTATTACATGGGACTCATAACATAAATAGTGAAAAGTGGGTGTTACATCTGTGTGCACCTCTGCCTACCCCTTCGGGGATAAAAGGCGTGATGTTATGTTATGTTTGTTTAGCGTCTATTTAATTTTGTTTGTTTGTTCAGTAGAAAAATGTAGATAAAATATACAATTTTCATTTAAATTAATTTCTGTCTGTAAGCTTTTCAAAAATATTCTTGACTAGCTGTGCCCGCGACTTCGTTCGCGTAGAATAGTGACTATGAGCAGCGTTTTTTTTTTAAATATTTACTTATTTTTATTTTAGATTTGGATCATAATCACAGTCATTTTGGGTAGCTAAAAAACCTACTTTACTGTAATGCTTCTCTATATACAATATTAGACGTATGGCCATCGGGGGTGAAAGCATACAGGCTGCTGGGATTGCTAACACGGGACAGAGCCACATACAATTGACCGTGCGAAAAACAGCTGATACTTAGATCTATACCCACAACTTTTAGAGTCTGACCTTGAGCTTTATTAATTGTCATGGCGAAACATAGGCTCACTGGAAACTGAATTCGTTTAAAATTAAACGGAAAATTTTTTGGAATGAGAGGAATCTGAGGAATAAAACCACTATCACCTTTTCCGCACCCTGTTAAATATATATATATTTATAAGCCATTTCTGAGATTAGCGTGAACAGACAAACAGACAAACAGACAAAAAAAAAGTTAGTTACATTTTTGGGTTCGACATCGACATAACAATAGCCCCTGCTATTTTTTTTATTTTTATTTTCAATGTACAGACAGCACTTTTCTACAATTTTATTATATGTATAGATAGATAGATAGATAGTGTTCGACGTGATTCTTTAATTTGACGTAACTTTTTTATTTATGAACCGATTGACATGAAACAAACACTAAAGCATAACTGAAGCATACCACAATATATTCGTGAAAACCGCATCCAACTCGGATAAGCCGTTTCTGAGATTAGCGTGAACAGACAAACAGACAAAAAAAAGTTAGTTACATTTTTGGGTTCGACATCGACATAACAATAGCCCCTGCTATTTTTTTTATTTTTATTTTCAATGTACAGACAGCACTTTTCTACAATTTTATTATATGTATAGATGATCTATTCTATATGATTACATTATAATAAAATCGAATGAATATTTTTTTTAAAGAATGTTTGGGGCGTGATCTACGAGCGATACCGAAGCTAAAAATATGGTTTTTGGAATTTTTGTCTGTTTGTCTGTATGTATGTTCGGGCTAAACTCAGAAAGTACTGCATGGATTTACTTCAAATTTTGCATGAATATTACTAACAGACCGGGTCAACATATAGGGTACATATTATCACGCTTTCACCAACGGGGGAGGAGCTGCGAATAACTATTCCAAGAGGACGAAATCGTGGGCACAGCTAGCACATAATGTAAAACTATATATCTAACCACAAACACGAATAACCAACCGTAAAATAATAGTAGCATATAATTGTGAGCAATCAACCAATTCACACGTACTATCTTTTGATTCAACACAACATAGCACAAAACCTCCTCTATCTACTTTGAAATAAAGTCTATATTTCTGTAATACCATATAAATGTGCCCATGTAGTGTATATAATGTATTGTCCAGAGTAAAACCTCCTCTATTACTACAGAATAAAGTCTATAATACCGTGTGTATAAACACAGGTGTTGTGAAGAATGTGTTGTATACTTTCTACCGAGTCTATTCGTTTTCGTTTGAAGAACAGCTGACTCGAATTTATTGTTGACATCGCTTGTAACAATGCGAAAATTGTTATTTAATCATTGTTTTAAGCAATTATTGTTTGTTATTTTCACTTGTATTTTGTCACCACCGCTAGTCTTGCCGTGGGTATCATGAGACCCTTGCCGGAAAGACTAAGGGATTACACATTTGACAGAGACTGGGCAACAGAACAGTGCACTTATTGTATAAATATATATATATTTAATGGACCGACGTTTGACCATTACCTCGCCTGGTGGTAAGTTATGATGCGGTCTACGATGGAGCACGTGTGTCTATAAGCCACCTATTAACTCGGGCCTTGAAGACACCCAGGTCATACCCTTCAGGAAACACAGAAACTGATAAATAAATAAATGTGATAAATCTGAAAGTTAAACTGCGACCTTCAACCAGCTTGTCAAGTATGGAAACTATGGCAAACTCCTTATTATGTAAAGGAAACCTATATTCCAGCAGTGGACTGTCACGCGACTATCACTAAAACAAGTTTAAACGATATCTTTACATTGCAATTATCTTGAGACGAACAAAGGACTCCAATCTACGTACAAGTAATTATTACTCTGCAGATCCCCTTAAGGGAATATCAATCTAATCAGGTAATATAAAGCCTTAAGCAGCAGATAAATGGATGAATCACGAACCCTATCTGCGACCGTTTGTCAATATATTGCAATATGGTTGGGCAATATGCCTTTATATTGTCTAGTCTTTGTTATTGAGTTTTGAGTTAGTAATAAGTGGGTTGGATGGGTACAGAATTTTGTCTTTTAATATATGTATGTGTTGTGACTACTTCTAGCTATAAGCAATGTTTCAATAGTTTATTCCTCGTAAATATTTAAACAAAGACGCATAAGATACATGAAATACATAAGAATCACTGCATCATATGTATGTTTTTCTTCAGCAATATACATTTGTATAAAATGTACCATTGGACATATTCCAGAATCCATGCTGGAAGAATAATTCCCTAATAATAATCATTAGATATTTCCCGTAACATGAATATATTTTAGTTTAAATCATAATGAAAATCAAAAAGTTTTGTAAAATAAGGTTAACGTTTTCACATTCGTGACTGCGACAAGGTTCCCACTCAACACCATGATATGATAGAAATCACACCATGCTTCTTTGTCACACGCAAAACTATAAAAGCACTTTTATATCAAATTACTTTCGTATTATTTGAAGAGAAATTATTAAATATTCTTTAGACAATATTAGTAAAATTAAATTATGATTTATTACTCAATAATAAAGGAGTAATATCCGATTATATTGCAGACAAAAACAGGTGTGAAAAACACAAATATTTCGCGAAAACATTTTACTATTTAAAATATAGTTCCTATGATAAATTACAAATGTCTTATTAAAATTTACCAGGAAGAATCTGTCATGTCTTTTTTAAACTTATTAAATAAAATTAGAAAACCATTCAAATAACGTAATAACTAATCACAATCCGAATATATATAAAAATGTATAAAAAATAAAGTACGACCACCACATTCACGGAAGCACCCTGTCGAAGGACTGCTGGAAGAGGTTCCTACGGGAATATATATATAGTACCTATGTACCTCCAATTTATTTATTATGTATTCTCCTATGTACTGTCTGTGTGTTGAACTGTGTTGTGCATAAATAAATCTTTGGAACAAAATAACCAAAACAAAAAAAAAAAAAAAAAAACAATCAGCCGAACATAGTACCTCCTCCTTTTTTTGAAGTCGGTAAAAATAGTTATAAAGATATAGGAAACTTGGTACTCACAATATCGTGACCCTGACTGCCGCTCCTGACCACTTCGGGCGCCATGTACTCAATGGTGCCACAGAAAGAGTAGGCTCTGCTCTCACCACCACAGAACTCCTTGGACAGGCCAAAGTCTGTCAGCACTATGTGACCTTCGGCGTCCAGGAGAATGTTCTCCAACTTGATGTCGCGGTAAATAATGCCGAGCTGTGAAAAAGAAAGACAAGGTTCATTAAATGAAAGTTATAATGTTGGTAGACATAACATCACGCCTTTTATTCTCGAAGCTCTCTGCAGCACTTAATGCCACTGTACAATGTACAACAGCCACTTTTGACGATATATGTTATAAGCCCTATACCGGGCATAATGTTAATAGAAATGACATTCATCTTTGTAAAAGTTGACGTTAAAGGTTTAAATCAATGAGTACAACAAAAAAACAACCTTTAATTTGCCGAATCTGTTTGGCTAAGTCACATCAAAAGGGGTTTAGTAGTTTACCATGATCGAGTAGCAATCACCAAACCAAACCACATTCATAACATTAAAGTCAATATCCAATACTCATGGAATCACACAAAGAGGTTTTTCGTTGTCATATAAAATAGTATAATCAGAAAACTAGATCTGGTTTTAAAATTACATTCCAAACAAACTTTTATGTAAATGGTAAAGTGAGCCATTTGACCTATACATGAACTGTTGTGATTCAATGCAAGCCTTAAGACCTTTATCCAGGTGTTTCGAGTGCATACTTCCTTGGAGAGTCAACAAAAAGATGGCAAGTACAAATGATTAATGTTATATGAATGTGAAGTCGTATAATAAAAATGTATGATTGTGGGAAATTGTATGGTGAGCTAACTGAGCTGCAGTTTTATACATGATGTTGGATTATTAGATAGTAGTACTCTTTGGAAAAGGAAACCAGCTAAACATAGAGCAAAACTTCTCTTATTTCAGTGTCAGACTTTAAGCACTTCTGTTCGGCAGGAGTGTCCAGTATAACATCTAGGTGTGAATGGAACTTAGCTGTTAATACACAACTTGTGGTCGTTTCCATCGACCACCTCTAAACCATCCTTGAACTAGGAGTTTTTTAGCACGAGGGAGCATCTAAACTATACTGTAATGGTCTTCAAGTGTAAGAACTTAGATTATGATAAAAATATTCTTACTATACCTTGTGTAATTGCTCGAGAGCCAATATAATTTCGGCTATATATATCCGTACTTCATTTTCACTGAAGTGTTCCCTCTGATAAAGATGAGTGAAGAGTTCACCTCCCGCTACGTAATCTGTGAAAGAAGATAACAATTAGTACTTTGATCTCGCAGAGAAATATGAAACTTTATGACAATGTGATAGGATTGAAGATCCATTTTGAAATATTAGTTGGGTGTGGTGCTGGTAGCTGTAGTATAATAGGGTAGATGCCTAATTTATATTATTTTAAATCATTACATACGTATTTTTTATTTTTTTACAGAAACGAATACTTTAATACTTTCGACGATATAATGATTTGAAATGTCGCGTGACGTCACTTCTATGTACATTTTATACGTAGAAATGATGTTTTAGCCCCCACTCCTAAACTTTGATTCGTTTTATCTAATTATTATTTTATTATAGTACAACAAAATAAAAATATACGTAAATTAAGTAAAAACGCGGGTTACTCACGTGAATATACTGAGAAAAGCTCTACCATTCTTCCTCATGAGCAGCGTGCGCGGTCGCGGCGACGTCGCGCAGCTCACTCAGCGCAACCCCTCTGTGGTTCGAAACTGGTAGAGCTTTTCTCAGTATATTCACGTGAGTAACCCGCGTTTTTACTTAATTTAGTATGTCTCACGATAGTTATTATAAAAATATACGTGTCTAATATTTTTTCATTACCTAACTTACGGATTAAATAGATTTTTAATTTTCATACCCCGTCATAATCCCCATTGACATTTCGAAATTTAAAGTCAAGTTTACTAATGGTGGACATTCCAGGGTAAATGTCAGAGAACCATACTAATCATTCGATTGATTAAGTTCAAGTTTGAAAAAGAGAAGATTTATAGAATCAAGATAATAATGTTGAAAGACTATTTGATAATCCAGTTATGTTTACTACCAGATTTAAAAGAGTTTCTAATAAAAAATATCCGACAGGACAATACAAAAGCGATTGTAGATAATTTTATACAAACACGAGTAATTTGACTAATAATCCAGTAAGTATGCCAGCAATATTTCTTTATGTCGTGGGCGGTGTTTGCAAATGTCTACGTCGAGTCTAAGAAGCTAAGCTTCAAAGAATCGGTTGATTAATACGATTTAATTGGGAAACAGAAATATGTTTTTAGAATAGATGATGATAGTGGAAATTTTAATGCGAGATCATCCAGAATTTTTATTCATTTCACTTGTATTTCAAGGGCTAAAACTACGAAATAACATGTTCCGTCTGTAACTTTAACTGGTGTTATATCTATCGTCAATTTATTTTATATTTTAAAACCATGCTAAGTTTCTTCAAATACTTAACTATTTGCATAAACAATTTCTTTAGCTTCCCTCTTTAATAGACTCACTTCAAAAATTCACAGTGCTATAGACATTAATTTAAAATACTGGCTAGTATTCATCTCAAGTACTTTTATCAACGTAGGCAGAAGATGTAGGTCGCAGGCTTGGTATTTAGACTCAGATAAACTGGATCATGCGGCACGCCCCTTTGTGTTATTCATGGCTCAAGTTCAATATTATTTTAAACTATTTATATAACATGTTCTATTACTATTGACATTAATGAAAAGAGATGAAACTCATGCATCAACATCACACCTTTCATTCCACATAGCTGTAACGCGCACATTTAGGCATTTTTGGAAAAGTAAATTACAGATCTTACGAGGAATCAAGCAGCATGCTGAAAAAGAAAAGTCGAGGAGGGTTATGTTAAAGACCTTTGAGAAAGAAGAAAAATGCGACCTTCATTAATAAAGAAACGATGAAGAAGAGAGTAATAGAGTAGCAACTACTAAAGAGTAATGAATTAAAATGCTTATTAAAAAGAAGTTGAAGAAGACAGGAGATGGATTATGCTAGATGATATGAAGTGTATAAGTGTAAATGGATGTGATATCAGACAGTTAAATGATAACCACAGTGCGAAAACGAGTTTCGACTCTGATTAGTATGGTCATTTTCACACAGTAAAACTACTTAACACGTTAAACGCCATGGCAGTCACTGGTGACCGACATTAGCGGAGGATTTGCCTTCAATAGTTTTTTATTGGCAGCCAATGCCTTAATCTTGGAGTAGCCACATTAACATACCATAATAATTATGCTGACCACGTGACCAACTACCACATTTGGAGTAAATAGCTTCCATTGACCATTTACGGAACATAATTTTAGTATAAGAACATTTGTGAATGTTTTATTACGAAAAGAGAAAGTGTTGCAATGGTTGGTGAATTCAGAGTACATTTTATTGTGAACAATTTATTCTACATTTTGTTTGCTATCAAAAGATGCTTGAAGATTTATACAGAGTCACGTTTTTCATTGTTTAAAGGGAAAGTAAAACATACTCATTCAACGAACAGTACGAAACGCATCAAACCCAAACACTGGACATAATTTCAAACTGCACTACTAGTATCGATACGACAGCTCGATAACAAATTATTCGCCAGACGCTTCCCAGTCCCATTTAAACTTGTACATATTATCTACGTCATCGTTCATTCAGCTCGTGTCGGGATGACGTCACTGCGGCTCCGTCATCAAGTGACGTCACGAGTTACCGTAAAAGCCTTGTTACGTTACTTAGGAATAACAAAAGGTCGACAAATTAAATAAAATATTTTTAAAATGTCAACCGTTAAGCAGGTTTTTAAGTTACTAATTGAGTCACATTTTGGGGCATACCTTAATTGACCTAATTGCAATAAGTATGCAAAACATTGTAATTGCTTATTTACTCAAGCGATACGTAATAAACGTAAACGTATCTTCTATAGTCATTAAAAATAATAGTTACTACTTCCATCAAAATTGTAAGTCAACTTCTGATAAGCACCCTAACTACATAAAAAAAAAATAATGATAGGAACGTGTAAACAGACAGAAAAAAATACAAAACAAAATAATCCTAGTCAAAAACATGACAGACAATGAAAAATCAACAATCAACGACAAAGATATCATCAAATCATTACAAAATGAAGCTTTTGATACAGAAAAATAGAAACGAGATACAATAAAAGTTCTGGCCTAGTTTATTATCAAATGTATGAATTCGTATAGAATATACTATAATGTATTTCATATGGTTATTAGAGGTTAAAGTCTGTAAGCATTTAGGCATTGGGGTAACCCAAATACGAATAATATACCGTACCATTTTCCTCCTTTACACTTCATCTTTTTGTTGTATTTCCCAATTTTTCTGGGACAACGTCTAAAAAGAGATATCAAGTGACTTATTTTGAGAATAGATCGTTTAACTTTTATAGAAGTTTCAATAGACTATGAGGATAATTAAGTTTGTAAATTTAATCTAAAATAATATAATGAAGTCATAGCTTTGGAAAAAAAATCCAGAACCAAAGTTATTAACTAACACTTTGAAAAGTAAAACTGATAACCATGAACATACCAACACCTTAAAAGCTAAACCTAAAAGATTCTAAGAACCCACAATTAAAAATGAAGTTTAAAGTGAAAGAAGAAAGATATAAAATCGTACAACACACTAAGAAAGTCGATAACAACATGAGAATTGAACGCAATCTTCGGAGCAACCTGACCGTATCGGGTATCAAGTCCATTACGATATTGTATTATGTCAAGCGTTTCCCAATATCTGCAGTTTACGCATACGGTGCAAGTTATAGGAAATAATAATCAGACAAGACTAAGACCAATACAAAAAGCTGACGGATATCCGAAGAAAAAACTAAAAGCACGGTCAAGTGTTAAAATAAATTTTATTTCATTTGGGTTAAAATGAGTCACTTTCAAGCAGTAACTTTGCGGAAAACGCAGGCATATATTAATTGACCACAAATTTGACCTATTTGGGAATCAGCCAGGAGAAAGAGGATGCTGGATGAATCAATAGTGAATACTACGGCCTTAGTAGAACCAGCAGTGCTGCAGAGCGATACAACTACAAGTTAAAGAAAACTGCATTTAATATGAGCAGTGTACACTCAAGTTTACACTTGGACCGGGAAGGTCAGACTAAAGGTAATCTGTGTAAAATGTCTTATCATTAATAATAAACATAGTTTCAGTTACCGGGTCCAGATACCGAAGGCTAGATCGACCTTGTGTGAAAGAAGTTCACACTTAAACTGTCAAACACCAAGCGGTCACCGGTGACCGCAACCTATTGTTCTATAATTGTGTCTACAAAACCGGTACTCGACGAGTTAATTAATCATAGATAAAGAAATAACTACTTTAGAATATTTTAACAGTCTTACATGGCAAATATTCAAAAGACGTTCTTTAATCAAGAATGTGGACTCAATCTAAGCAGAATCACTTCGCTAAAGTAACAATCTCTAATCGACTGACCTTTTTATGCAAAGAAAATTATAAGGATTAAACACGTAACAAAGATCGCTGAATTCTATACAATTAGAACACCATAGAACAGTAGTTTGCACGTGCAACACTTAACAATGGATTACAAACACTTCAGTAAGGGAAAAAGCGCAAACGTCCGTCGACGGCAGGTCAAGGCGAGAATCGCTACTTATGAAACTGTAGCTGTTTTAAACTGCATTTACTAAACCAACAACAACAGTCTAGCTACATGAATTAAAATTAAATATTTTACGAATTTTGTAACAGTAATTTTCAAAGTGGATAAGATTATTATTAACCGGTTCGGTCTTACACAAGATGTAATAATGGTAAGTCATTGAAAACGGGAACAAAAAGACAAATCAAACATGTAATAAAGAAACAAGTATTAGAGCAAAATGCATAGTTTTCCAATCAATCTAACAAAGGACGGAACAAAAGACCTGCAAATCGTTTCACTTCGAACACCAAGCAAACAACACGTGACGAAGAAATTACACATAATTGATCTTCAATAATTGCAACCCTGAACTTTCCTTCATCATTGACAAACAATGCACGGCACCCAATTTAAAACTTTGATCGAATCAAGAAGTATCATATTGTTGTAAATTGTAAAGAGTTAATTTATACCAAATTTTAACTTTCAACAAAACAATTCCGTTCTGAATCAGGAAAGTTGCCAAATATCA